ACAGCATGGTCAGGGTTGGAAGGGACCTCTGTGGGTCACCCAGTCCAACCCCCTGCCGAAGCAGGGTCACCCAGAGCAGGCTGCACAGGACCTTGTCCAGGCGGGGCTGGAATATCTCCAGAGAAGGAGACTCCACAGCCTCCCTGGGCAGCCTGGGCCAGGGCTCTGTCACCCTCAGAGGGAAGAAGTTCCTCCTCATGTTCAGACGGAACTTCCTGTGCCTCAGTTTGTGCCCAAAAATATCTCAGGCACGATTTGCCCTTAGTGAAGTCATGTTGGCTGTCACCAGAACGAATGGTAACGTTAAAGGAGGAAGCATTTGCATCCGCAGAGGTGCAATTCGCTAACTCTGTTCGCTTTGTGTGATAGCAAAGGGCAGGCGACTATGTATGACTCTTATCAAAAATGAGCTTAACTCCTCCAGATGTCAGCCAGCAGCTCTCTCCTCGGTATCTACGGCTCTGATAGCCGTGGAGACAGCGACGACTGTTTGTGGTGAGTAGATGCTCTCTCTGCATTCTCTAGTTAGAAGAAAAGCGTCACAGGGAATGAACTTTTGAATTAGTTGAAGAGATGGGATGTATTTCTGGGTGTCTTCCAGGTGGGTTCTCGTGGGCTGATCTTCCAGATTTCCTGTGTATTAGTTGCATTTTCTTCCTTTTAAATTTCACTATCCTTACATATCAAAAAAAGTGACTTTAAATCTTGGTTAACCTTGTGTTCTTTGTCAGAAAAGCGGCTGCTTTATAACTGTCAGTAATGCTGAGGTTATGAACAGCTTTCCCCTGCACAAACGATCAGAGCTTGGAATTTATTGAAGGCAGAAGTTAAGGTCAGCAAAGTTAATAGATTTTTCCTATTATTTTTCAAGTGTCTGTTGTAACATTCTTGCCAGTGAAATACTGTGTTGCTCTCTATTGAGCCCTCGATACCAGTCCATTCATACAGAAAGTTACAGCAATCCAAGACGACTAGCAGTGGCTCCATGGAACCGGTCCGGTGATACGAGAAGACACCTCGTGTAGAACCCCCCTGGGGTACGTGGCCGTCAGCCAGGATTGCCATTGGGAGAGGTGTCTTTCAAATAGCCTTTGCTAGGAAAGGACACTCTTCCTGTTGAGATATTTTCATTTTGATTTTTTTTCAACGTTAATTATGAAAAAATAAGGGGGGGGGGAAATAGTAGGGATAAAATTAATATGAAATTTCTGGGAGTGAAGCAGTAATTGCTGTTTGCCGGGAAACTGCAGTCTTCTTAGTATTCAGTTAATGTCTCAGTCTTAAAATTTGAGTAAAACTTCCTCTGTGCTGTATCAGAGGCAGATTTTATAGGTAGGTTCTTGCTCAAGAAGTAAACAGCACGAAATATTTGCAGGATGAAGACTGGTGCTTATGGGGAAAAATTCTGCTGTATATAGTATGGGCATACTTTATTTCTTTTGGATTAATTTCAGTATAGTGGTTGGGAAAGGGGAAAAAAGAGTTGAAGGGTTCTACCATGCAAGAGAAAATCTTGCTTGGGAATAAATACAGCAAAATTCTTAGAAGTCAAGTAAAATGTTTAGAATCCAATAGCAAAAAAAAGATATAAAATGTAAAACATTTCAAAAAAACCCTACCATTAAAAAAATACCCACAAAAAGCAATCCTTCTTTTAACCAGTATTTTGATATTTTAGCAGATTTGTTTGTGAGGTGAATATTTAGGGGAAAAGATTTGATGTTTGGGACTGAGCCTGTGAACTGCTCTTAGCAAGTATTTTCTAGGAACAGCATGGGTGTTGTCCACTTCAGCAGTTTCTGGCTTTGCTTTGAATTTCTAATGTAAACTATTTCAGGGACATGTTTTTATTTTCTGCAGACAGTGAAAGTGTAGACAGCAAAAAAACTTTTTCCCTGGGCTTTGCACCCTTATTCTGATGGTGCCAGTTTTCTGACACTCTGCTGTGGCTGCTGAACGACTGGCTTTTACGGGGATGTCACCGTTCGGTTCCTCTGGACTCAGCGTGGGTGGCTGGTAATTATTTCCTGACAGATGTCACTTTCTGTTGGTCACCCTTCCAGCACGGGGCACTTTGTCTCTTCTGCACTGAGGCCGTGTTTCTGGCTGTTGCGATGTACTTGAGAAATATTGCTTTGTTCTTGCAGATGTGGCAGCCCTTGTTACGGGCTGGATAACAACAGTGCAGTGCTCCCTAAGCACAGGCCGGTGATCTGGAGAGGTTCTGTAAGTTGCTCAGGCTGTGAGTGGCACGGAAAAAAGAAAAATAAATAATTGGCATAGTAGCGTAGTACTTGGTGACACCGTCTCAATGTTTGGCTTTGCTTTTTCTCTACGTTTCGTTGTTGGGGAGAGTTCTGCGTTCCAGAACCGTGCTTGTTTTTGTGCTGCTGAATGGTGAGCTTCTCGCTGCGCTGTGCACTGGAGGTGTGGCACTTGCCCTTGGCTTTTCTCGATGTTCACCGACCAACGGTGACAGATTGGAGTCTGCAGCTTGGTGAGATCTAAGCTCTGACCTTGCAACTGTCTGCTTGCCCCCGGCATCAACTCAGTCCCTTTTGTGGGTCTTACACCTATACTGGTGCTTTCTGGTACGTCCCTTGTTATATCGTAGGATACAGATTCTCAGTTTCTGTCTTTTCATTCTTAGTCTGATATTGAGGAAGGCAGAGGGTAATTTGGTGGCACGTTTAAAACTTGTCTGTTGCAGAACAGTATCGAGGTTCAGCGGTCATCATTCCGTGTTTACAAGCTGCACTGTGAATGTGTGACTTATTTCTAGACTTGCAAAGGGGGGGTTGGTGTTAAAACACTGATCTGGAGTACCTGGGACAAGTTATCTTCTGTCACCTCTGCTGTGGAGGGCAGTGATGTCTGATAGGAGTCCAGAAATGGCATCTAAGGGAATGTCATAATCCATTGCTCTAAAATCCACTGGTGCTTCTCTCCAAGGGTAACAAGAGTTTAACTGTGCCAGCTAGTCCGTCACTTCCCTAATTAATCCCATGCAACTTTGGGGAAACTGAGAACCTCCAAACATATAAAAACACCATGTTGGAGTGCACCATATACCAAACGTTACTGTGCTGACTTATTTTAGAACTGTCTTGTCAGTACGAAGTGTGTCATGTCAAACACTCTTGGTCTGTGTTTATTCGTGGGAAAGTTTCCGTGGCACAGTGAAGTCATCAAAAGTCAGAAAATGCCACAGTTACGGTTACGCGTGCCTCATCGCATGGAGGCTCTGCCTGAGCTTGGAAGCATCTCTGCAGCGCTCTGGTGACGTGGCCGTCTTCACCCCACGCAGCAAAGCCTTGCTCAGCCAGGGCTTGGCAAAAGGGAAAAGGAAAACCACAGCAGCTCCGCCTGCGAGGGGCAGTTTGTGGAGAGAAGGGTGGCCAGAGAGGTGCTGGGAGGAGACCCAGAGCTCGGAGCAGAGGGACAGGGTCCGTGCTGAGCCATCGGCATGTGCAAGAGGAACAGCAGCCCAACGGGAGGGTGCCTGGTTCTGTGCTGGCCTCTCTGCCCCTGAGCTCCCCTCGGGCTCATAGCATGGAGCATGGGTGCATCTTCGCAGAATCACAGCATGGTAGGGGTCAAAAGGACCTTTGGGGATCCCCCAGCCCAACCCCCTGCCCAAGCAGGGTCACCCAGAGCAGGCTGCACAGGACCTTGTCCAGGTGGGGCTGGAATATCTCCAGAGAAGGAGACTCCACAGCCTCCCTGGGCAGCCTGGGCCAGGGCTCTGTCACCCT